ACATCCTCCCCAGCCCTCCTGTCTTCCTGAGGCAACACTGGCCCACTGTCCTGCAGGTAAGTTTTCAGAGGCCCCTCAGAGTTATTTAGAGCCATAAGCCATGACACAAGGGTTTCTGTAGACCCAGACTCTTCTTACACTTGTAGTCTCAGGTGGCAGATGTACTGAATTTAGTTACTAGAGAGATAAAGATCAATTTGGTTATAGGAAAATGCAGTTTGGACTGTCACCAAAAGAGGATGTTCTTTTGGACACCTCTGAGGAGAGCTGCACCTGGCACGGGGCTCTGGCCACTGCCACTGGGGTCCCAGGCTCAGGGGGTCCAGGCCGTGTTCCCTGCAGCCCATTTCTCCCCACACCACCTTAGTGCTCCCCGCAACATCCCACCAGTCCCCATAGCACACCATCTCTCTCTCCACAGCACCCCACCTCTCCCATAGCCCCATAGCACTCATTAGCTCCTTGAAATCTCAGCAGGAACATAGGCTTGTTCATAAATGATGGTGGTCAAGAGACAAGTTCATCTGAATAACTGCCTTTAAGCTTTCTGTGGTTCTAAGCTCTGTGTGTGTGTGTGTATGTGTGTGCAAGGAACTGGGGATGGGATGGAGAGAGTGTGTGTGTGTAAGAAAAGGATGAGTTGGAGAAAGTGTGTATGTGTGTGTGTTAGGAAAGAATGGGATGAAGAGAGAGAGAGAAAGAGAGAGAGAGAGAGAGAGAGAGAGAGAAGAAATGGAGAAGAGGGTGGAGAGACCAAAGTTAGCCAATGAACATTTGGGAAACATTGAGTTTTCTGCATGAGCTTAGTTTTACTTGAGAAGCACACTTGTGATGTGTGACTGTAAAAACCCAAAGCCAAACCCACTGCTGTCAAGTTGTAGCCGACTCATGGCGACCCCTCCTTGGTTTTCCGAGGTGGTATCACTACAGAAGTAGATTGCTCAACCTTCCTTCTGAGGAGTAGCTGGTGGGTTTGAACCCCCAGCCTTCTGGTTAGTCAAATGTCTTAGGCACTATGCTGCCAGAGTGTGTGACTGTAGGAAGCTTGACTCAGTTTCAAGAAGAAATGTTGGGGCAGGATTGCCAATTATTCTGACTATTATTCTCAGTTTTCACACCACTATCTTACTTTTGGGGAGCTCTGGTAGCATAGTGGCTAAGACACTTGCCTGCTAACCAGACGGCTGGCGGTTCAAACCCACCAGCCACTCCTCGGAAGGAAGGTTGGGCAATCCTACTTCTGTAGTGATACTGTCTCGGAAACCCAAGGAGGGGTCGCTATGAGTCGGGTTTGACTCTACGGCACATAACAACAACAACAACAATCTTACTTTTGAGCATTCATTTAAATATATATATGTATATATGGTGAAATTATACACAATGAAATGGATTCCATTCAACAGTTTCTACACGTGACGTCAGTGACGTTGGTTACGTGCTTTGGTTGTGTCAGCATTCTCGTTATTTCCACTCCAGTGGTCCTACTTCCATTAACTTGGTCTCACTGTCCCCAACCTTCTCATCCACGCTTTAGAGCAGCGGTTGTCCAGTTGGTCTCCTGTGGATAATTTTTATTTTATATATCTATTTCCTGACCATTTTGTTGTGGTTTGGGTGAAAGTTTACAGAGCAAATTCATTTTCCGTTTGACAATTGATGTACATTTCATTTGGTGACACTGGTTGCAATCCTTTCTGTTCTTCCCACTTCCTCCCTGGGCTCTCTGTTTCCATTTGTCCTTCTCTCCTGCTCCTTCCTGCCTTTTGAGCTTTGCTTTTGGGCAAATGCTAACATTTTGGTCTCATCTGGTTGATGTTCTGAGGAGTATGTTCCTCACAGGTGTTATTCCTCAACTTATGGGTCTGTCTGTTGTTTGGCTAAAAGGTGATTACCAGGGTAGGTTCAGTTCCAGGCTTGAAGGGCCAAAGTCTCAGGGGTTCTAGAGTCTCTATCAGACCAGTAAGTCTGGACTTTTTTATGATTTTGAATTTTGTTCTACATTTTTCTCCCACTTTGTCCAGAACCTTGTATCGTGATCCTGATCAGAGAGGTCAGTAGTGGTAGCTGGGCACCATCTAGTTCTTCTGGTCTCAGGCTAGAGGAAGCTGTGGTTCGTGTGGTCCATTAGTTCTTTGAACTAATTGTTTCCCTGAGTCTCTGATGTTTTTCACTCTTCTTTGCTCCAGATAGAAAGAGACCAATAGTTCCCTCTTAGATGGCCACTCTCAAGCTTTTAAGACCCCAGCTGTTACTCACCAAAGTAAGATGTAGAACATTGTCTTTGTGGACTATGTTGTGCTAATTGACCTAGATACCCATTTCAACTAGGGTCCTAAGCCCCCACTGACTCATTCCATTAAGGTATTTGGTTATGGCTGAAACGTTTTCATAACTTTGCCCCATGTATGCTCTACTATATACATGGATATATTTGTAGCACATGTAAATATATAAGCAGAAATTACATAGGATAATTTTTGAAAGAACACAGTTCTGAGGGGGTGAAATCTTTTGCTTTTTGAGCTAACTAAACCATTCATTTTGGACTTAGATTTACATATCAGTTATTAATAAAATATTTCAACTTTTTTGCATTATTTTCCTTGATAGCCTTTTTTTTTTTTTTTTGCACATCATAATTTTTGCTGTTGGTATTGCATCTCTATTCCATTTTCCTCTTCCTCTCCCTGTAATGAGTGAGGACAGATGTGACCGTGTGGTCCTGTAGACAGATGTCAATCTCAGTGATTGAGTTGAACTGGAAAATGCAGCGTTGTTCATTCCCTCCCAGGGAGAGGCACCTGAAGGTGAAGCAGAAGCAGGGTGGGCTAGCCATGGGTGTTTGGGTTTTGGATCAGTGCCGCCCTGGGCTTTGAAGGGGAATTACTGGCCAAAGACCAGGCTACTACATTCTATCTGTCAAGTTCTTAGCTTATTGTTTCTATCTTTTAATAAGTGAGAGATACAGAACTGCAAGAGATTAGCATTGGTCAGATAGTCATCTCAACAGGTCTGTTGGTTTGGGATTGAGAATAAAGCAAGAACCATTCGATCCCCCAGACCTGTATTTTTCTCTTTTTTTGTCCTCTGCTGGTGAGGCTCCTTGGTCTGAACCGTTTCCTCTGTAAGAGCAGGGCTGCAGACCACCCACTCCCTTCCCAGCACAGGCGTATAAAAGTGTCTGTTTGTGGTCAGCTCCCATGGCAGGTACGGACCCAGATTTTTGCCCTGGAGGAGACTTGGCTTACTCTTTTATACCTGAGGGATTTGACAGTGATGTTTTCGTATTTCTTTTTTTCCTTTTTAATTAGGGGTAATAAAGCAGTGTTTCCTCTTTTTCTGATAAAAATATAACAAAGGGCCTTGCTGCTTCTGAAGACCTAGAGGAAGTTCTGAGAACCAAAAAGCATTTCCTACTTGCGTTGCCTCCCTGTGTGTAACTTACACAAAGTATCTCTTGGAGTAGGAATGGGTTTGCAAGCTGAATTTCTTCATAGATGAAGGAAGCCTTATGACAGGCAAGCAGCCACAGGCTTGTTGCCTGCTGGCTCCTCCAGTGTCCCTACACTGTATGTATCCTGTTAGCTGCCCTCATTGTCATGGACACGCTAAGTACAAGAAGGGTTCCCATCACTAGTCATGGCACTAGTTCCTCGCAGGCTGCAAGCAGATCACACCTGGCTGGGACAGCTGTGCGGGGCCTTCATTGCTCAAAGGGCAGAGTGACCAGAGGAAGAGAACATGTGGGGCATTGACAGTAGGCGTCTGTCTGTCCATGATGCTTTTGGACACCTTTGTGCTTTGGACAAGGAGCAAACACGAGATTTTTAAGAGTACTGGAGCCTTGTGCCTCCTGAAGTAATGGGCTCTCAGAAGATCAGCACAATGGGAAAGTTTGGAGCTGGTATCAATCAGACTAGATTGTTACCTTCTAGTCATGTGGGTCTGGGGAGAGGGGGCACAGCACAGAGGATCAGGTTTCCCAAGGGGGGAAATATCAGCTGTTTGAGATGGGAAATATCAGCTGTTTGAGATGGGAATGAGAGCAAGGGGGGCTCAGGGGAAGACATACCCAGTGTTCATTGATTTGATGCCAATTCATCATTTTCCCATTATACCATAGTCTCCAAACCATAACTCAGCACCTGGGATGCATACAAACGGAATTGGTGAGAACATGCAGCCAGTGTCTACTACCTCTCAGTTGAAGCCTAAGATAGTAGGGATTATTTGAGCGCTTGTCGTTTGTGAGGGAAACTACCTGGTACATCTTTGACCTTGATTTGCTTCTGTGCAGTGACATCCTGCTGTTCATGCTGTCTGCCCCACTTCCGGAGGAGGAGGCAGGGACAGCACATCCTTTCCTCCCATCTGATTACCCGGATGAGACAGCACTGCAAAACTTCTCAAGCCTCGCCAGACCACCAGGCCTTCCTTCTTTATCACACTGACTCTGCAGTGCAATTCTGGACAATGCTTTGCCACCTGTAATATGTTTTATATTTGCCTCCTTCTAAGTCAAAAACCAAAGTTTCTAATTACAAAAAGGTGAAAGTGGAGGATCATATTTTCATAGTCAGAGAATCCAGAATTAAAAAGCCATGTTTTAAAAGGTTGTTCATCATTGTTAGGCAGCATTGATATGAACTCTGAGAGAGTAAGGAGGAAACTCAACAAAGTCATGAACAAACCCAAGTCTAAAGAAGAGAATGAGTTTTTACCATTAATCTTTTTAACTGGAATGTCTGACATTCCAATAAAACCTTCCCCATTAAAGAGAGAGAAAAGAAAGCTCTTCTGAGTCTCCATGACATCAGTGGGGTCTGTTGTGTTCTGAAACCCGGAAGAGAGACCAATTGTCTGTAAAGTTTATGGCACAAATATCATGACTTGCGTTGAAGATTAAATGGCTCTTTGGTTTAAATGACCTTCTGAGGTCCTCTGCCACCCTGAGCTTCTGGGACTTATTATAACTTTGTTTTGGTTCCCAGTGGCTCATGGACAGGAAGAACCGGACATGGGTGAGTGAGTTCTTCTTGCTGGGCCTGTCCAGTGACTGGGGAACACAAGTGTCCCTCTTTTTCCTGTTCCTGGCCATGTACCTGGTGACTGTGGTGGGGAACTCCCTCATCATCATCCTCATCAGACTGGATGACAGGCTCCATACCCCCATGTACTTCTTTCTTGGTGTCCTGTCCCTTGTGGACATCTGCTACACCAACAGCACTGTCCCTCAGATGCTTGTCCACTTCCTGTCATCCTGGAAGGCCATCCCATTCCACAGTTGCATGCTCCAGCTGTATGTCTCCCTAGCCATGGGTGGCACGGAGTTCTTCCTGCTGGGAGCCATGGCCTATGACCGCTATGTGGCCGTGTGTCACCCCCTACGCTACACGGTCATCATGAGTAGAGTGTTGTGCCTGGGGCTGGCCACCAGCTGCCTGGTGGCTGGCTTCGGGAACTCACTGATGCAGACCGTCATTATCTTTGAGCTGCCCTTGTGTCACAATGTCATCAATCACTTTGCCTGTGAGATGCTGGCTGTGCTGAGGCTGACCTGTGCGGACATCTCCTTCAACAAGGTCATGGTGGCCATCTCTGGCTTCCTGGTGATCATGCTCCCCTGCTTCCTGGTCCTGTTCTCCTATGCTCACATAGTGGCTGCCATCCTGCGCATTCGCTCAACGGAAGGACGCTGCAAAGCCTTTGGGACCTGCGCCTCCCACCTCACTGTGGTCTCCATGTGCTTTGGAACAGCCATCTTCACCTACATGAGGCCTGCAGCTGGCTCCTCAGTGAAACAGGAGAAGATGGTGGCCCTGTTCTATGCTGTGGTGACTCCCATGTTGAACCCCTTGATCTACAGCTTGAGGAACAAGGAGGTCATGAGTGCCCTACAAAGAGTGTTGGGAAAACTTAAGTAAAGAAAGATGGGGACTCTAAGAATTACTCCCTTTCTCTAGCTATATGAAGAAAGGTATTCCAAACAAAAAGAAATGACTGATATGCCCGTTCTCCCCGGACTGCTGACAATGTAGACCAGATGAACCCATTTCTGACTGGCTTTCCACATGACAGTTCTGTGTGTGTATCACGGCCTTACTGGTTGTTGTTAGTTGCTGTTCAGTCAGCTCAGCGCATGGTGATGCTATGCAGAGCGGAAAAAGATGCTGCCTGGTTCCGGGTCACCCTCACCATTGGGCCCATTGCTGCAGCTTCTATGTGTTTTGAATGCCTTCCGACTGGGCGGCTCGTCTTCCCACACTATGCAGGGCAGAATTCTTTTGTGATCCATGCGTTTTCATTGGCTGAGTTTTGGAATTGTTCTCTAGGCCTTTCTTCCTCATCTGTCTTATTCTGGAAGTGCTCCCGAAGCCTGTCCACCATGGGTGACCCTTCTGGGAGTTGAAATACCAATCGCGTGGCTTCCAGTATCATAACAGCCCACAAGTCACGACAGTGTGACACCCTGACAGATGAGTGGGGCTGCCCCAATATACATGGTGGAAAGTTCTTCAAGTGGTGAAACTCAGATCTGACTGCCAGATGGTCCTCTTAGCCTTGTTGCCCCACTTTGTTACAGGAAACGCAATATGGGCAGAGTGAAGAGGTTCAGATTGAGGATAGCCACGCTTCAGTGCTTGACCTCACCCCTTAGGCAAGGTGGCCCTGAAAAGTCTACTTAATGTTCCTGACCTCCAGTTCTGTCAGCTAGAATGGAAGCCATGGTTTCCAGAGTGTGGTTATTTTGAAGATTGCAGGTAACCTCGGGGACACATTGAACATAAGGGATGGCATGCAGGGGATACTCAACAACTTTGAAGAATAGTTTTTAGGGCACAGTTATAGAGCTAAGCATTACATTACTCTCATATCATTATTCAAAATGAACGTTTCCCCTTACCACTGTGGCTACACTGGGCCCCTGTGCTGGGTCTCCTCGGGTGGTCTTACCCAGTGCCATGCTTTAAAGACCACATATATGCTCAAGAGGTGCTTCT